CATGCAATCGGAAAGTTTAACAATGCAATCATAAGTATGCGAAATGGTCAAATTTAATTATCAAATGGTTTACCCATTTTTTTTTTTTTTTTTTTTTTTTTTAATATTAAGGCAACATGGCTAGTGCTGTCACCACGACAGAGCAGATGAGGATATTATTTTAGTCCGGGGTAAAAAAAAATTTTACGACTGCGGATTCGAACCCAGGTCTACCGCACATGAACCCAGTGTTCTAACCATTCGACCAAGCAGCCACTTAAGCAGGAAAACGAAAAGAGAATTTAACTATTAGACATGTGAGTCCCTACTACTGTGTCGCGATTCAAACACAATTCAAAACCGCAGGCAATTGTTTTCTCGTAGACAGATACTCCAAATATATTAATGAAATAGAAATCGCACGTGTCTAACACGGTTAATAAAGTTAATGTCGCAGTAACTGTCTGCGCCGACGTCGAGATAGTCCTTGATTGCCCCCCCCCCCCCCCCCCCCCCCCCCATCGAAGGTTGTTTGAAAAAAAAACAGAAAATAGAAATCGTGTTTAATATGGTTATTGTGGCAAATATAGAGATAGTCTTGTTTGCTGTACCACGACCTACTCTATGTATTAGTATTAGAGAAGGCGTTGGCTGCACGTAACTCGCTGGCGAATGGTAAATACGGCGCATGCGCAATTACTAACGTGGCTATAATTAGAAATCACTAAAGTTATAAATATTAATTGCGTATATTATTGCATAAATTGTGGTCACCTATCTCTAACAGTGACAGGTTGAATTTCAAACCACGACAGTTCAAAATCCGGTATCACAACAAACATATCCTGAAAATTTCAGCTAAATCGGTTCAGTAGTTTCCGAGTCTATAGGGGTGAAACAAACACACAAACATTGATTTTTATATATATAGATAATACATATACACATAGTAAAATCTAGTATCATCTTCTTAACATTCACTGTAAACTGAAACTCTGATAGAAAGTTCTGCTGAATCGTCCATTTCTGGACTTCAGTCTCTCTTTTCCAGAACTTGTGTTGTGTGAACAACCATATATTACAGACAGGTCTAGCTTATTTTTCTGCAGACTGTTGGTTGGTTGGTCCCTCGCCTATAAGGCAAATTCACTATGGCTCTGACTTTGATAGAAACATCCATATCTTTTACAAAATGCTTGTTAGGAGGGCAGCAGTTTATTCCACCAACACCCCAGCCTTAGGACCCCCACCCAGAACAGGCAGAAATCTAGTCAATGAGTTCTGCTGAGATCAGTAATTGAAAAAAAGCAGGGCTATCCTCCGAATAACGGGCACTAAAGATGGCGGCCGCAAAATATCCTTACGCGCCTCAGTCACATGACTTAATTTGTGGTTTTCTGGCGACTTAATTCGCGGTTTTCCTGTGACTACCGGCACGAGGCCCCCGCGCCGCTAACGTGGCGTGGATTAGGGCTAAACTAGATGGCTAGGACTAAGGGCAAAGCTGCAGGAGATGCGGAAGCTGCTGCTCGTGGGTCCTAGCCATCTAGTTTAGCCCTAATCCACGCCACGTTAGCGGCGCGAGGGCCTCGTGGTGGTGGCGGTACTCGCCGGAAAACCGCAAATTAAGTCACGTGACTGATGCTCGAAAGGATATTTTGCTGCCGCCATCTTTAGTGCCCGTTTTTCGGAGGATAGCCAAAAGCAGTATAGGATAAAGAAGTAACTGTCTGCAGGAAAATGTGCTAACCACTTGACAACTGTGGCTCTAGTGATGGAAGGAATACTTCCAATCTATGGTGTACCATTGGTGGTCAGGCCTTGTCTACTTTAATCATTTCTGCGCAGAAAATCCTACATACCATGTCAAAGATATCCTGTATCTTCTCTCTTGGCCTCCATCCGCCTCACTTCACCTCCAGCTTACCTGACATACTCCAGTTCTTTTCTTCTCATGATGCCACTTAAGAATCTTCATGGTTGTCGCATGCGGATGTGCACTAGAACACCAGTACTGAGTGAGCAAATAAGACGTCAAAACAATACGTAATATCGTTATGGTATTGTTGTCAAAGACATTCAATGTTTACAGTCTGAAGGGATGCCACTGAAGGAATGGTAATCAAAGTTGGATCCTAGAGGACGTTCTACCCCGGGACTCCACTTTAAACTCAGCAGAAAGCTGGTATAATGATTGCATATTGTGCTCGGCAGTAAGCCGGTATACTTATATTACCTTGTTCAGGCTGCAGGAGAGAAGATCGTCGAGATTGTTCGGATTCCAGGGTCGGACTGAGATTGTCCGGATTCCAAGGTCAAACTGCGACCTGTCATTTATTAAGAAGTCAGTTGATGTCGAGCGGGCTCGTGTTGGTGTGTTTGAATGAGTCTTTATTAATTGCACATGTTTTCTTTTCTGGATCATTGGTATCTCAATACAACCATGGAACCTAACTACGAGCGTTCGTTGTTCTACCGTTGAAAAGCATTGAAGTTCCTACTGTTTTAACCCCACTTGGCCTATTTCATCGTTTGCTAAGACACGCATCATCATGAAGCCGCCGCACGTCACAATGGTGTCCCATAAATTTCCTACCTAGAAAAAAATTAGAATATCACCAACACCATTACAGGCACAACTCCAGCTGTGCTTATACATGTTCTACATGCTTCAAAATGTGTTTTAAAAAGGTGTTATTTCTTCCTGTGGGTTGAAACTTTTGGGGCACCTTGTAAATTGTCTCCTTCTGATGTAGATAATTTGGGGAGGGGGGGTGGGATAGACCGATTGCCCTCAGGATTAAGCATGTGGTATGGTACAACGTAATTGATTAGGGGTGTTTCCTTCAGTGTTCATCCACCTGAGAAAGGAGGAATTAACAGGTTACGTACAAATAAGCCAGATTTGTAAAATGAATAAACATACAAAAATCAAGTTCTGAAACAAGTGGACTCATCATCATCATGTAGCAGGTCCTTTGCAGAACGTCGCTATCATCACAGTCTGCCTGAAAGAAACTCGGTCTCTCGCCAGTTCTCCCGCCTCATGCATTTTCACATTCAAGGAGTCACCTATATCTTGTGCCCATCTTCGTGTCGGTCGGCCCCTGCCCCTCCTTCCTGGTACTATGCCTTCTGCTATAATTGCTAAAAGTGGACTCAAAACCATAATTTTCATCCAGAGTTTACAGCTGTGGTGTTCTCATTATCTCTTATAACCCCCCCCCCCCCCACCCCTACCCCTACCCCCATCAGAGGCAGCATTAGCGCAGTCGATAGGAGACTCGCTTTCAAATCCAGCGGCTGCAGCCCGCGGCCAGTGTTCGAAACCCAGCGGTTCCCGGGGTTTATCCAGCCTCTAGGAAATGGGTACTAGAGTTGGCACTCTGGGGTTAATGGAGGAACATCACTGTAACTACAGAGTTACGTGCGGACAGCGACACAAGCGGACAATTTCTTATCAGCTGTCCGGACTAGTGCTAGAACACTTATGTTTTATAACCATGTGCAATGACGCTGGTTCACATCTCAGGACTTTACCTTTTTATTCCCTTATCATCTACATAATGTTCTCTTAAGAAGCCGACTGTCCATGATTTACTTCCATACATAAGGATCATGCTTCTTTAAGCAGAGATTATTTTTGCCAGAGTGGTACACAGTACCAGTGCCCCTTCTTAGGGAAACATTTTAAAGTAGTACTGTAATAGACAAGCCCATATATATGCAAAATCACCACCTGCGAGATGAGGTGCCTAAGAAAAGTAGCCAACCTAACCATCTGAGATCGAGTGAATAATGAAACTATCAGGCTAATTGTAGGAACGACACCTTGTGCTAGATTCATCAAGAAACAGCAGATCAAGTGGTTTGGCCATCTTGTTAGAATGCTACAAGATCAAATACCATCACAAGCACTACATCTCAGAAGATCAGCTACAAGAACAAGAGGACGGCCATGGAAAACATGGATGAACAACAATAAAGACACTCTACGCTTTCACGGCATGACAATAGCTAGTGGCAGCCAACGTGCACTGGATCGCAAATTATTCCTCCCCATGATGCTTAATGGCAGAAGTGGTTTATGATGATGACTGTAATAGACATTTTGTTGTGAGTACTGGCATCATTGTTCCTTAATAAAAGTCCTGGATATTCATTTAATTTCAGTTTTGATATTTGTGTTAGAGTTGTAGTTAGTTTCAAGAGAATGAACTTCATTGTACAGGATTTATCACATTTAGCTCATGTTCCCTCTGCAGATCGACTAGCCACCTCCGAGAATGTTGTACAAAGCACAGACTTTTAAGCTCCAGCAGTTATCCCATTGATCTGACTTCACGATGACCGGGTGATGAACTCCTTGTGGTCCAGGTTTACGCCCAGGGGTAGGCAGAAAAGCCACACTTCTCACAGATTTATGGTATTTATCATGAAATCGAGGCCGAAGGGTTGTGATTTTCATAGTACTGAGCCAAAGGGTTAAGAACTCATGGTTTCTAAATATAAAAAAATGTTTTTTAAATCCCATTGATCTCTAAAAAAAACTGCATGTTGTAATAGCTGACCCGTTAGCAATTTTCTTTCAAAGTCACAATGTGTCTGCCATTTAAATAAGTAACCAACAGTCTGCATTCAAATAAGCCAGCTGTGTAAAACATGTGAACACAAAACTCAAGTTCTTGAATAAGACTAAAGTCCAGAAGTGGAAAAATAATATAGTTTTCAGCCAGTAAATGTGAAGAAAAGGCCTTCAGAGCATGGTGCAAACAGCTCGAGTACTGCCACAGACACCTTGTTTTTATTTCATTCTGTGTGAATGTAAAGTTGATGAAATGTTTTTTTCTATACTCACAACTGAAATATCTATTTCACATTAGGTTCTGGATGGTTGGAGAAATGAAATGCTTGCAGAGGCTGGATTTTATGTGTGGTAAAAAGCCATGTGTTTTATTCAGTGCAGACATTGAGACAAATTTGTGAGAAGAGCTAATGCAAAAATACTGTTATGTGAAACCATGTCAGCAGCATCAATAAAGTGGGTTATTGGGTCTTCATGCCTTCCTAGAACATTTACTGTGATAACAAAACAATTCATAAGCTTTCAACGACACCATGTTCTACCTCAAGGACTCAGATCCTTTCACAGTCATGGCTCGTCAGCTGCAAGGTTGCATTTACCTAGTAGAATACCTGTTTCAACAGAGACCCATATTCTTTCGAAAGGCAGATGTTGTAAAGGCAGTGGATCAGCCAAGTCACCTATGTGGTTCTCCAAACGAATCTTCGCATCCGCAGGCAGAAGATACGCAAAGAATTCCACTTCTCAGGTCAGCGAGGTTTCAGGACAAGCAGGGCAGCATATTTCAAAGGGCAACTCTAAATCCAAGTTACCAAGATTAGCAGATGTCAGACGGCTGTTCGGTCTTGCAGAACCAGAGAAGTGGAGGTTAGCAGGTGAGTACTTAGACAGTGTTCAAACATGGCCAAGTTGTCTAGGGTTAGCATCAAGAAAATAACCTACTTAACTGAGATTAAGAAGTGTAACGATGATTGAAAGGAAAAAACACACACTCCCGCACGCACACACAAATGAACTGGTTGGTGGTGTTTGTGCTCTACTGAGAGTTAAAAGGAAGAAGTAATAATACAGGTAAAAATTTACTTCTTATATTCTGTACCTTGTAACGTTGGTAGTCATATCAAACCACCACCTTCTGTCTCATGTTTTTTATTATTCTTTGGCTTCATGCATAGTGCTCTTGTCTGGCCACATCCTTTTAACATTTGGTTCTCGCAGTCTGGTCGTGTTTGCAGATTCACAGTCATCTCTTGGTTCTCGCAAACGTCTCACTTCATATAGAGAATTCACAATATCAACCTGGTCCATGGCTCGTCCACCCTCCACAGTAAATTTACCTGCAAGCCTATCAGCCTACTCATTTTCTTGCTCACCTGTATGACCTGGCACAGATATGAAACTGATTTCTGTCTCATGTACTTTCAGGTAATTCTGACACAGATGATCTTCAATGCCATATTGCAAACTGGCCTGTATCTTCTCTCTCGGTCTCCCTCTGACTCTTCCCCTCCACTGTTCCCACCATCACTTCAGTTTTCTCCTTCTCATAACATGATGAAAGCAAGTAGATTGTCTCCTTCTGATGTGGGCAGTTAGTTCTCTTCATGGGTCAGTTGCTTTTTCTGAGTTTACTACCAAACTTCTAATACTGCATTTGCCATTTTATTCTCTTATTTTTCTGGCTCTTGCTTGATGTTGTGAAATAATTTCACTGTGCAGTTTCCATTTACTGTATTCATTTTATGTGGTGATCGGTTTAGAAAAAAAAAAATAATCCATTCTCATAGCTTTCAGTGATACAAGAGCCTCAGTTAGCAGTGGAATTAAACTCCATAGTTTGGCTCTGTGGTTTAGAAGTTAGTGAATGTGTTTAACAATTTCATAATTCTTTATCACTAGGGTTCAGATTCTGCAGTTTAAAAACTGTTCTTGTAGTTTTTGGACAGCAGTACGAGTGTTGCACCATGCAAGAGATTAGTGCTTCAGCATGTAATATTCCATTAAGACAACAGCAGGTACACTAGCCAACCTAAATGTTTGAGATGGCATGCATTTTACAGTGCTTCTTTACTAATACCTTACCCCAAACATGGGAAATCCACAGATCACGTGACAGTCTAATATTTCAGGTGGTGGTAGATAGGCTGCATGCAGTCATGGGACCTAGGCTGCACACTCTCATGTGACGGCAGTGGGTTGGGGTTAGGGCCAGTTCTAGATGTTAAGGGGTCAGTAAAAAGCATCAGAAAGCCGGGAAACCCAGTCTTACCACCCTCTAAAATGTTGGGCTCTCCTGTAACGTCATCCAGGGTAGGATATTAATAAGCACCCAGTTTACTTTTCTTGTTTAGTCAGATTTATACCTGATGCTGAAACACTCATCATTGTATTTCTCATTGGAGGTCTGGCTAATTTTGGGAGAGTCTATAGTCTACATTTGGCAAGTCAAAGAATGGTGAAAAGACTGAGGGAGCAACTGTTCTCTAGAATTATGAGGCAGGAGATTGCATTTTTTGACAAGACCAAAACTGGAGAATTGGTGAACAGACTTTCCACGGACACATCTGTTGTAGCACAGTCATTGTCTCATAATATTTCTGATGGTCTGCGCTCAATCTTCCAGGCTTTGGGAGGCATTGGTATGATGGTAAGTGTTGCTGGATTATAACTTTTTTTAAAGAAAATAGTCTGTGAAAATATTGTGAATTCTGTTTTGCAAATGATTTTCTAGGTATTGAATAAAGACATCTATATTTGTAAAGTAGAATTTGATATGAGTATATGCTGTTAGCTTTGCAGGACTGCAGTATGTTTTTGTTTTTCCCAAAGGACAGTGAAGGACATTCGCTGTGGATTTCACTGGCACCGGAAGAGATAAATTATGGGGCGATTCCTTAATGTTGGGACTGGGACTAACTAAACTAAATAATGTGAAGTCCTTGCTTGCCATGCAGTTGGAACTGGGACTAACTAACTAAAATAAATCATGTGAAGTCCTTGCTTGACGTGCAGTTGGAACTGGGACTAACTAACTAAAATAAATCATGTGAAGTCCTTGCTTGACGTGCAGTTGGAACTGGGACCAACTAACTAAAATAAATCATGTGAAGTCCTTGCTTGACGTGCAGTTGGAACTGGGACTAACTAACTAAAATAAATCATGTGAAGTCCTTGCTTGACGTGCAGTTGGAACTGGGACAACTAACTAAAATAAATCATGTGAAGTCCTTGCTTGACGTGCAGTTGGAACTGGGACTAACTAACTAAACTAAATCATGTGAAGTCCTTGCTTGACGTGCAGTTGGAACTGGGACAACTAACTAAAGTAAATAATGTGAAGTCCTTGCTTGACGTGCAGTTGGAACTAGGACTAACTAACTAAAATACATCATGTGAAGTCCTTGCTTGACGTGCAGTTGGAACTGGGACTAACTAACTAAAATACATCATGTGAAGTCCTTGCTTGACGTGCAGTTGGAACTAGGACTAACTAACTAAAATACATCATGTGAAGTCCTTGCTTGACGTGCAGTTGAAAGTGGGACTAACTAACTAAAATAAATCATGTGAAGTCCTTGCTTGCCATGCAGTTGGAACTGGGACTAACTAACTAAACTAAATAATGTGAAGTCCTTGCTTGACGTGCAGTTGGAACTGGGACTAACTAACTAAAATACATCATGTGAAGTCCTTGCTTGACGTGCAGTTGGAACTGGGACTAACTAACTAAAATAAATCATGGGAAGTCCTTGCTTGACGTGCAGTTGGAACTGGGACTAACTAACTAAAATACATCATGTGAAGTCCTTGGAAGAAATTTATTCAGCCTGAATTTTCTGAGCTGAATCTTGATTTGTTTAATTTTATATGTTTTTCATAGATACAAAGCTCTGTTTTCAGTCTCATACCAAACAGCTTTCTGAGTTTAGAAAAGGAAAGGGCAGCTCTACAGTTCTGTCCCTGTGGAGATGATACTTCTACAGTGAGCCAGGAGAAAGGTCTATTCCAACTTTACACCCCTCCACACAAGATGATTTGAATGCCATTGTTTTTAAACTTAACTCTTTGAGTCCCAGGGGGTTTAGCATCACAGGCCCAATGCGTAGTAAAGAGAAACTAAAATCGATACATCATACGTTCATTGGGCTTTTAGGTAAGACTTATGAACATATGATGCGTTCCCTGGGACTCAAAGAGTTAAAAGTTAAACTCTTTCAAAGAGTTCACAACTAAGTCTACTTCTGTGTGTTTCCTTTCAGTTATATGTATCATCAAAGCTGACACTAATTTCCATGGGCATTGTTCCCCCTGTTGCAGTTGCATCTATTATATATGGCAGATATCTGAGGAACATCACCAAGAATGTTCAGGATTCCTTGGCTGATGCTACTCATGTAAGAGCTGTCATGTTTGTGATTTTTTTTTTTTTTTGGGGGGGGGGGGGGGGGGGGGGGGTTAATTGTTTTGTTTGTGTGTTGCATTTTGGGGGTTTACTGATCACCTCTTAGTTTTCTTTTAACTCCCCTTTGCCAGTAAATGCTCTGTGTGTGATCAGGTACTGTTCAAATAACACATTATGTATGCTTCTTCTTTTTTACGTTCACCAGCTTTCTGGCGGAAAGTTCTGGTTCCTCGTCCACTTCTTGTCTTCTGTATTGTTCCAGAACTTGGATTTTATGTGCACATGATTAAAAATCTGGCTTACTTGTTTGCAGATGTTTGTTTCTCACTGCATTCATAGATGCTTTTTGACTTTAATTTAGGCCCCACTTGATGTATTATAATGGTCAGAGTTTTACTCCCCAAAAAAATGTGGGTAAATATTTGAACAGGCAGCACCATATATTTTATGTTGTTGACAGAAATGTTCTTAAGAGCATTTTTCTGTTTTAATTTAATAAGAGCGGGAGATGCTAGTTCAAATTCTCACTAATGTTATGGATTTTTTTCTGCCTGGAGCAAAAATAAAATCCTAACCTGCACGGTCCAAGTGGCTTGAATACCCCCACCTAAACAGCAAAATGGTATAAGGATAATGGACCAAAATAAAGCCCCAGCGCTTTTGTTGTTGTTGATAAGTTGATTTAAGGCACCTCCTCCTCCTTCTGCTAGCCTGTGATATCTCTCTTACACAGGGTAGAGTACCCACTTTTTCTGCCTTTCATCCCTCAGTGGGGCATCAGCCCACAGCCAACTTATCCTATCCTTTGCTATTGCATGCAGCTCCCACCCCATTTCCTCTCCATCTTTTTAACTTCACTCTATAGCTGCATTCCCCATGTGTTTTTGGTCTGCCTTTATTTCTGTGCTCCTGTAAGTTCCCCGATGTGATGCTGACCCAGCATCAGCTGAGTGCCAACTGGTCTATGAAATATAGGTCTAGCCCTATCTGCCAGATATGCCTAAAGGCATGCAGAAGGGTCCTTTCCTTTTAAAAAAAAACTGGGGTTCTGTTATAAATCCCTTCTAGTTGTATTGTTCTCAGGTTTTATATTAGTCCACCTCGGACAGTTAAAGATCAATACACACAATTATTTCCGTTACTAACATGGTTTATTTGGGTAAGACTGATGTAGAGCCAGTTGCTCTGTTTTATGTTTTGATCGGTTTGTTTGTTTGAGACACTTCTCTTTTGTGTTTGATAATAATGCTCCGTTTTGTGCTTTGTGCTGATTTCGACAAAGGTATAGAGAGCCCTCCATTTAGTAACAATGGTAAACTACTAAATGTATAATTGTCTAGTAAAATTAAAGTCAGCAAAAAAAAAATTATGTGGTTGGTTCTCTAATGTCCTGTAAAGGATATGCAACTAATAATCATCTGCTTTTTTGCGTGCGTGAGGCAGCTACACTGTTTGGTGTTCTAAGTAGCTGCTGTGTTTTACATTTGAGTCACCTCCTTATCTCATATTTTAAAGCATCTGTTCTGTTTTATGTTTGGGGGCAGCTCTTCTGTTTTATGTTTGGGGGAAGCTCTTCTGTGTTTAAGTTTGTTTTATGGGGGAAGCTCTTCTTTTATGTTTGGGGCAGCTCTTATGTTTTATGTTTGGGGCAGCTCTTCTGTTTTATGTTTGGGGGAAGCTCTTCTGTTTTAAGTTTGGGGGAAGCTCTTCTGTTTTATGTTTGGGGGAAGCTCTTCTGTTTTATGTTTGGGGCAGCTCTTCACTTTTATGTTTGGGGCAGCTCTTCACTTTTATGTTTGGGGGAAGCTCTTCTGTTTTATGTTTGGGGGAAGCTCTTCTGTTTTAGCTCTTATTTTATGGGGGAAGCTCTTCAGCTCTTTTATTATGTTTGGGGCAGCTCTTCTGTTTTATGTTTGGGGGAAGCTCTTCTGTTTTATGTTTGGGGTAGCTCTTCTGTTTTATGTTTGGGGGCAGCTCTTCTGTTTTATGTTTGGGGGCAGCTCTTCTGTTTTATGTTTGTCGGCAGCTCTTCTGTTTTATGTTTGTGGCAGCTGTTCTGTTTTATGTTTGAGGGAAAGCTCTTCTGTTTTATGTTTGGGACAGCTCTTCACTTTTATGTTTGGGGAAAGCTCTTTTGTTTTATGTTTGGGGGAAGCTCTTCTGTTTTATGTTTGGGGTAGCTCTTCTGTTTTATGTTTGGGGCGGCTCTTCTGTTTTATGTTTGGGGCAACTGTTCTGTTTTATGTTTGGGGGAAGCTCTTCTGTTTTATGTTTTGGGGGAAGCTCTTCTGTTTTATGTTTGGGGCAGCTCTTCACTTTTATGTTTTGGGGAAGCTCTTCTGTTTTATGTTTGGGGCAGCTCTTCACTTTTATGTTTGGGGGAAGCTCTTCACTTTTATGTTTGGGGCAGCTCTTCTGTTTTATGTTTGGGGGAAGCTCTTCTGTTTTATGTTTGGGGAAGCTCTTCTGTTTTATGTTTGGGGGCAGCTCATCTGTTTTATGTTTGGGGGCAGCTCTTCTGTTTTATGTTGGGGGGCAGCTCTTCTGTTTTATGTTTGGGGGGAAGCTCTTCTGTTTTATGTTTGGGGAAAGCTTTTCTGTTTTATGTTTGGGGCAGCTCTTCTGTTTTATGTTTGGGGCAGCTTTTCTGTTTTATGTTTGGGGCAGCTCTACTAATGATTTTGTGACACATCAAGTATTATCATTATTTGTGAGAGTATTTCAATTTTCTTCACACCCCCACTCCCACTACTAAATAACATAACTGATGAATGAATCTGAATCATTTTCCAGGTAGCAGAAGAAAGGATTGCTAGCATCAGGACAGTAAGAGCATTTGCACATGAAGAGAAAGAGCGGGAGTCCTATTCACAGAAAGTAGAGAAGGTTCTCAGGCTTGGGTACAAGGAGGCTTTGGCACGAGGCATTTTCTTTGGATTTGTATGTTGTCATTGATTTGTATTTTTGGTTTTATGTAACAGTGTGATGGTTATCCCAGGTTTTAGTACATTGAGTAAGTGATACTAAGCCTCTAAAGTAAAATAAAGGACCCTTTTCCGCGCCTTCGGGTGTATTGACCATATGGGGCTAGACCTATATTTTGTAGACCAACTGGTAAGCATTGGGTGATGTGATCAACATCACGTCGGCTGCCCTTACTTCCTAGGACTTATCAAGTACCTGTTTAAGGCTGCGTCAACCTGGAAGCAAAGGCTTTTTTTTAAAAAAACTGAACCATCTGTATAAATAATGGCTTCACCCGAACAAGCATTATCCTGAATTAATTGCTGAATTTCCACCGCCTTGCCACTCACTGCATTCCCAGCTCAGTGTGATTATGACTCTACACAAATCTGACTGTTCTGCTGGCACTCTGACCCATTCTCCTTGCCTTATGTTCTACATGATGCAAACCTGCCTGACCATGACCTCCGCCTGAGCCAGCCATGACTTCTGTCTTGTTGGTCGCAGACTCTTATTTAAGCGCTTTTTGCAAAGAGTGATCTGTGTTTGCAGCTACTCTGAGGTATGACTTCACCTGCAGTACCCCTAGTCTAACTGCAACAGTCAGCAAACGAAGGATTTATCGCATACACACTACTGGGGTGTCTCTGGTACAGCCCAGAATGACCCGTATTGCTGCGTTCTGTATGCACTCTAGTTAAACCTCTTGGCTCTTGGGAACAGTGAGCAGTCCCAGTCCATAATCAATCACTGAGGTCACAGTAATTTAAAACCAGTACCAAACTTAAACATTTTAAATTCTAGCTAGCTGTACCCACCACACGATGCTGTGGCTCAGTCTGGCTAAATGGAAAATAAAGAAAATAGAAAGTGCACATGTCTAACATGGTTAATTTCACAATCATTGTCTGCACAGTTGTAGACATAGTCTGGTTTGCAGACTCTAGAACAAGCAACATATAATTGTGTCTCTATATTAGTGGTAGTCTGGTTTGCAGACCCTAGAACAAGCAACATATAATTGTGTCTCTATATTAGTGGTTGTTTAAATTGTATTATTAAGACTTTAAAATAAAATGGTTATTTGTATACATGCCCTAAACTCGCCAGACGTAGCCCCAGGTGATCTCCACCTGTTTTGACAGCTCAGAGAGTAATTGGGAGTGAAGACTTTTCGGTCCAGTGAAGATTTACAGCAAGTGGTGCATGAATTGTTAATATTTCAGCCATGTTTTATTGGTATGATTAATTATGTTTTGATCATATTTCAGCCATGTTTTGTTGTCTCTCAGACAGGGTTCTCAGGAAATACAGTAATCATCTCTGTATTCTATTTTGGAGGCCTCATGATGTTGGGTTCCAACATTACAGTGGGGAATCTCTCTTCATTTCTTCTGTATGCGGCTTATGTCGGCATTTCTATGAACGGTAGGTCAGCATTTGTTCTTAGTTTGTGTGCAGATTTCTGATTTTTTTTTTTTTCCCCTTTATTTCATCGAATTTCGAAAGAATTTCCATCTCTCTCTCTCTTTCGTTCTCTCTGTCTTTCTCTAACTCTGTCTCTCTGTCTTTCTTTCTTCCCCCACTTCCAGTTTTTCCAATTCCTCACAAAGCATAAAGAGAAAGACATGCTCTAAGCAGAGTAGCCAACATCACTTATTAGTGATGGTTAGCATCTTTTCTCCAAGGCATTTAAGTGTGCTGGGAAATGACCAGGCAGACAGACCTATTGGTGTTACCTCGCTGCATGATGAACTGATGAATGACAAGTTATATGTGGTATTTGCCCTTTGAAAGCAAGTGAACAGTGCAGAAATGCAAATAAATCAATACAGTATGGAGAGAATGATGCAGCTGGAAATGCCCAAGGATACTGGCTGACGTTCTACACTCAGAGTGAAGGCAAAATAGACATAATCAGACTGCTGCTTGTATCGTCAGAATTGTAACTCTTTGCTGTCTGCAGGAGATGAGGATGAAGCATGTACAGGAATGTCCTGAGATCTGGGATGCTGGATCTGGCTGACGCTCAACACTCAAAGGAAAGGCAAGACAGATATACAATCAGACAGTTACTGGTAACATCAGAGCTGAAACTCTGCGCTTGCTGCTGAAGATGGGGATGGGATGCTTATGGGAATGTCCTGAGCCATGTGATGCCGATTCCTCATTCACATTTCATTGTCTTTCTCAATCAAAACTGCTGGAACTAATTGTTGACCTTTACTTCTTTGTTATTTGACATGTAGTCATGCACACGTATTGACAGACATGTTGTGTGTTTGCAGGTTTAACCAGCTTTTATACAGAACTGAATCGCAGCATTGCTGCAAGTCACAGGATCTGGCAATTGATAGACAGGCAGGCTACAATAGGTACTACATATGTACATAATATAATTGCAATAATATATTAGTTCTGTAGCTTAGACATTGCAAACATGCTTTGTAAGGCTGATATACCTGGTTCGATTCCAGCTGCGGGTAATTTGGCAGCAGGCCACCTTGCACTGATTCCGACTTTAATCTTTTTCCAGTACCTGAATTGTGCATGCACATCTGTTTTACAGGTCTGGGATATTTGCATGTGGACTGTTAGTTCTTTGCCTCCCAGGCAGATGCACCCTGACTTCGAAGGAAACATCCCTTATTAGTTGACCTTTGTGACATGCTCGTTGTGGCGGGTGGAAGGGGGGGGATTAGGTGTCTTATTTTTCTCCTCACAGTGGGGCCCTAGAACCCACAAGAGACTGCTGAGACAGAATTTAACTAGTAAACATAAAATTGCCTAGCAAAATCACAGTCAAAAAATGCTGGGGTTGGTTCTTGAACATCCTCTAAAGCATTGATTCTCAACCTTCCTAATGCCACGACCCTTAAATACAGTTCCTGATGATGTAGCAACCCTTTAGTACAGTTCCTCATGTTGTGGTAACCCCAACAATACAGTTATTTTTGTTGCTACTTCATAACTTCAATGAATATTTGTTTTACGATGGTCTTTGAAGACCTATAAAAAGGGATCGTTTGGCCCAAAAAAAGGGTCTTGGCCCATAGGTTTGGAACCACTGCTCTGAAATATATTAATGAGCACACTAAGTTGGATGAGTGGTGGGAGTTAACTTCTAATGTGAGATATATTTTTTTTTTACAATGGTATGTGTGATTACTTATAGTTTGAACTATGTAGACAGTAACTACCAGTGTAGATGGAATTGAGATTTACAAGATGATAGCTTTCTATATTTAGAGTTGTCTAGAATGATCTCCTGTCTGTATATTTTCCCTATCTAAATGTATCTGTCCTGGTGGGGTAACTTTTACTTACTTACACTGGGCAGCAGCAGCCATTATGATATTCTGGGTTAAGAGATGAACAAGCGGATTGGCTTGCTGGCAGGGCTGTGGTAGGCACAGGAGAAGTGATGGCCCTGGCTCAGGTTCTCATGCTTTCAAGGAGGCAGGACTAGTAGAGTTCAGGATGAATGGTGGTGAATCGTTAACATTATGTAATTTTCATTGTTGCTATTTGATAAAACATATACTGTAAACTATGAAGACAGTAAAACAACGCAGAACTAGTGTAGTTGGAATTGAGGATTTACTAAAGAGTGCTTATAGACTTGTCCAATGTGGATGGTTGACCAATTACTAATTAGCTATGGTTCTTTAGGAGATTAAATCAGAAAATTGTGTTACACTTCACACCAGCTTTCTAAATAAATAACCACTTTGTTCCTAATCTGCCAGAACACTTAAACTAAATACATCACATTCTCCGCATACATTCTCAAGAAAGTACAGTATCCGGTCTGCAGCCCAGGAGCCTTGAGGGTCAGCTGCAGTTCAACAGTGTGTCTTTCAGCTATCCTTCCAGAGCTGACTTGCCTGTGTTTTCTGGTCTTGACTTGAGCATTCCAGCCGGACAAGTGACAGCAATTGTTGGACCTAGTGGATCCGGAAAATCCACATTGAAGGTTTACAATGCTGAATTCTATGACGCAGTTACTAGTGTGATTGGTTGCCACATGCTGAGGAAGATTGTCATTTTGAAGCTTATAAACTTGTCCATTGTGGATGTCTGACCAATTACTCTCCAGATTTTGTTGGTTTCTTTAGGAGATTAAATTTGAAAATTGCTCACTTCACAAAGCTTTCGTATGTTAATAAATTCTTCAATTTGTGCCTGACTTTATCATTTCCTAATCTGCCAGAACTTTATAAACACTAATAAATATTCACTACTCTGCCTCATTCCCCAGAAAGTGCAGTAACTAGTATGCTCATCTATTGACCTGATAGCACCTAGTAGTCACTAGAACATTTCCTGGGAAGCAAAGACAGCTAGCATCCAAGTCATTTTTCATGTGATAAAGGATTTAAAAATGTGAGGCTAGCAATATGTGCCATTATACTTTATGGTGTAAAAAGGGGGTCTGTGATACCTTTTTTTTTCTGATTGGCTTAAACAAGGGGTTCATGATCTCTTTCATCCCACAAGATTTCACAGAAGATATCTAACGGAAATGATAGCCACAATGAATGAAACATAAGTGCATAACTTAAACAGAGGCAGCACTTACACACTTTATGTGAAGCAGACCATGCTGCATTTTAAATTATCAACCAGCTTTCAATAGTTTTCCTCATACCAGATCAAGTTTTTGTTGGTCGCTTGGAGACAACAGCATGTCACGCAAAGTTGTTAAGGACCAAAAAGGTGAATATACCTGTTATTTTCTAATAAGCAATAAAACATTCAGGTGATTGCAGTTCCAACTTCAATGCAAAGGGGTTACCCCATAGTTGTACCATCCATGTGCCAGCGAAAACCACGCAGTGTCCATCACCATCTCATTATGGAAAAGAGTGTCACAGACTGCAGTCTCAGCAAAGTCAGTGGCACAAACATGCATTAAATGCATAAGGCAGCCATAAGAAGTGCCAACACAAACAGGCTGGTACTATAAATGCAGTTCATTGTGGATGAAAGCAGTAATTACAACAGATCAGCAATTAATTGTATGCTGATATCGGATTGGGTACTTCAGAACATGAAAGGGTTGAGAAATTACACTTGCTTGTTTTAATGTGCCCTTCCTTGTTTGTAATTGTGAAAAAAAAAAAGTGTATGAGTACACTTGTTTTGTTTATGTAAATGTTATGGTTTATCCAGTTAATGTACCACGATCGAAACCCACTGCTGGCCGCATGGATTTTTATCATGGTATGGGGCTGTGCAGGTCGACCCAGCCTAAAATGGGTACCAGGATGAATGTCCTGGGGAAATAAAGATGGCCGGCGTAATGCTGACCACATTACCCACTTAGTACTGATCGGTCTGTACAAATATGCGTGCTCTTCCCATATGCCCGATGCGCCTAAAAGCCTAAAAAGGGATCTTTACTTTGCTTACTTGCTGATAGTCTGTAAAAAATATGGGCGCTTTTCCAATATACCGATACACCTAAAGGCAGGAAAAGGGATCTTTACTTTTTACTTTACTCACTATGCTTTATCCAGGGCTGTTGCTTTAGAATGGTAAGAGGGATAACTGCTGCAGATGAAGACTTGAGGGCCATGATGCCATCCCTAAGGGGAATCAATTGGCAAGAAACTGATTTTGTTATATGTAATGTTGAAAGGCCTTATGTTTGACTATATACATTTTATAAAAATTGTTTTAGGTTTCATAACTTTGGATGGCATTGATATAAAAAACTTGGACCCCAGTTGGCTTAGGTCGAACATAGGAACTGTCAGTCAGGTATGAAGATATTAATTCTTCTCAAAATTACTGTCTTTGATGGTTACCTTAGGTGAGTTTTCACATGTATTTATAATGGACTGATGAGCACACTCAGTGGGAGATGTGGACATGACCAGGGTCGGTGTACATATGAGATTGTCCTGAGTACAGTGGCATTAATTCTGCATTGGTAGATAAACAGCAGGAGCAAAAAATGTTTCAAAACATTATTTTAGCTCTTTTAGTCCCAAGGAATGCATCATACATTCATAGACGTCCATTAAATGGATGCAAGATGCACTGATTTGTCATCTCTCTTTGCTACCCCTTGGGCCTCTGACGCTAAACCCCTGGGACTAAAAGAGTTAAACTGTGACCAGAATAGGAATAGTATTTCAAAACGTTTAGGACCAGCATTTATTACGCAGTTTAACCCCGTCGGGAGTTGCCATGGCAGAGGAGCTAGATGCCCCTGCCGCTGATCGGAAGGTTTTGTGTTCGCTGCCTGGCTGAGCCTGACTTTTAAAAAAAATGGCTCCTAGGTCGACCCAACCTTAAGTGGGTACCGGGTGCGGTGCCAGGAAGAAAAGGCTGGCGTGATGCTGACCACATCAACCATCTTGTGCCTATTGGTCTAAAAAATATAGGCCTAGCTCTATATGCCCTATACGCCCAATTGCGCGGTAAAGGGTCCTTTATTTTACTTTTACTTCAACCCTGTCCCCCAAGAAAAATAACTGTAGTCACTTCCAGTTGTGAGACAGTTCCGTAAATACTGATATATCACCATGTCTGCACTGACCTGTTCTTGAAAGCAGTTCAATTGTATTGGTTCTGTGTGCACCTGTGCAGTGTCTAATAGGCCAGGATATGATTATAGTGACTAAAAATAGCATGGCGGGAGGGGATGTTTCATTAGGACCCCAGTGGCTTTTTAAAAGCCAAGTTGATGATGTCAGAATTTCCCATAAGCTTCTGATAGAGATCAAAAGTCATGAAATGGAGTCACTTGATACCTGCTGTTCAGGCCCCAGGGAATGTATTTCATTTAATGCTTCACTCTGTTAGTGTTTATGGATTACCCCTTTTGTGCCTTTACATATTTTAAAGGAAAAAAAATTAAAATGCAGATAAATAGGTGTAAAAACAAATTTGTTAGTGACCTGTGTAATATGGTTATTGTTTTAAGGATTTTTTCCTGGAATTCCCATGGATTCATTGCCCATTTTGTTGGCATTAAGATGTTTCAAGGATTAAATTGAGAACAACATTTGCTTACCAAATAATATCTTAACCAAAGATACCATCCTAATTTTATAACAATTTCTGTTGCATTGCTGGCTAAATATGTACTAATCTTTATTATCTTATGTCTCTCATTTTCTGTAGGAACCAACATTGTTCTCAACATCAATAGCAGAGAACATTGCATACGGGGCTGAGAAACCGGAGGAAGTGAGCCTACAGGAGATTTCCGATGCAGCCAAGAAAGCAAATGCTTTCAACTTTATCACCAACTTCCCCAGCGGTTTTGAAACTTTGGTGGGGGAGCGGGGCATCATGCTTTCAGGTAACTGCTTTTTGGGTCGAAACGCTTCTATTATACATAGAAACCCTAGAGTTACCTAAATCTCCTCCTGAGCCCTCCCTAAATGAAACTATCTCCTCCTCAAGCCTCCCTAAGTGAAACTATCTCTTCTAGACCTCACTAAGTGAAACTATCTCCTCCTAGACCTCACTAAGTGAAACTTCTAGGCCTCACTAAGTGAAACTATCTCTTCTAGACCTCACTAAGTGAAACTTCTAGGCCTCACTAAGTGAAACTATCTCTTCTAGACCTCACTAAGTGAAACTTCTAGACCTCACTAAGTGAAACTATCTCTTCTAGACCTCCCTAAGGGAAACTATCTCTTCTATACCTCCCTAAGTGAAACTATCTCTTCTAGACCTCACTAAGTGAAACTTCTAGACCTCACTAAGTGAAACTATCTCCTCCTAGACCTCACTAAGTGAAACTTCTAGACCTCACTAAGTGAAACTATCTCCTCCTAGACCTCACTAAGTGAAACTTCTAGACCTCACTAAGTGAAACTATCTCTTCTAGACCTCCCTAAGTGAAACTATCTCTTCTAGACCTCACTAAGTGAAACTATCTCTTCTAGACCTCACTAAGTGAAACTTCTAGACCTCACTAAGTGAAACTATCTCTTCTAGACCTCACTAAGTGAAACTATCTCTCCTAGACCTCACTAAAGGAAACTATCTCTTCTAGACCTCACATCTACACACGTGTACACCTAGTTTTCACATCTACACACACGTACACCTAGTTTTCACATCTACACACACGTCCACCTAGTTTTCACATCTACACACACGTCCACCTAGTTTTCACATCTACACACATGTCCACCTAGTCTTCACATCTACACACATGTACACTTAGTTTTCACATCTACACACATGTACACCTAGTTTTCACATCTACACACATGTACACCTAGTTTTCACATCTACACATGTGTCCACCTAGTCTTCACTTCTACACACGTGTCCACCTAGTTCTCACATCTACACACGTGTACACCTAGTCTTCACATCTACACACATGTCCACCTAGTTTTCACATCTACACACATGTACACCTAGTTTTCACATCTACACACATGTCCACCTAGTCTTCACATCTACACACATGTGAACCTAGTCTTCACATCTACACACATGTGAACCTAGTTTTCACATCTACACACATGTCCACCTAGTCTTCACACCTACACACATGTACACCTAGTTTTCACACCTACACACGTGTCCACCTAGTTTTCACATCTACACACATGTACACCTAGTCTTCACATCTACACACATGTCCACCTAGTTTTCACATCTACACACATGTACACCTAGTCTTCACATCTACACACATGTACACCTAGTTTTCACATCTACACACATGTCCACCTAGTCTTCACATCTACACACATGTGAACCTAGTCTTCACATCTACACACATGTGAACCTAGTTTTCACATCTACACACATGTCCACCTAGTCTTCACACCTACACACATGTACACCTAGTTTTCACACCTACACACGTGTCCACCTAGTTTTCACATCTACACACATGTACACCTAGTCTTCACATCTACACACGTGTCCACCTAGTTCTCACATCTACACACGTGTACACCTAGTCTTCACATCTACACACATGTGAACCTAGTCTTCACATCTACACACATGTGAACCTAGTTTTCACATCTACACACATGTCCACCTAGTCTTCACACCTACACACATGTACACCTAGTTTTTCACACCTACACACGTGTCCACCTAGTTTTCACATCTACACACATGTACACCTAGTCTTCACATCTACACACGTGTCCACCTAGTTCTCACATCTACACACGTGTACACCTAGTCTTCACATCTACACACATGTCCACCTAGTTTTCACATCTACACACATGTACACCTAGTTTTCACATCTACACACATGTCCACCTAGTCTTCACATCTACACACATGTGAACCTAGTCTTCACATCTACACACATGTGAACCTAGTTTTCACATCTACACACATGTCCACCTAGTCTTCACACCTACACACATGTACACCTAGTTTTCACACCTACACACGTGTCCACCTAGTTTTCACATCTACACACATGTACACCTAGTCTTCACATCTACACACATGTCCACCTAGTTTTCACATCTACACACATGTTCACCTAGTTTTCACATCTACACACATGTCCACCTAGTTTTCACATCTACACACATGTCCACCTAGTCTTCAGCTCTATCTGAGAAGGCTGGATATGTAATACACTGTTTCGGGATCATGAGGGAAATGTACATTACCTGATGCTGTAGAATAGCTGGATGATCTCATTATGTCACTTCACAAGCCTGAGGCCATTACTAGTGTACTTTAAACACCCTGTGTGGTTTGGCATTTCTCTGCAGACCAGCTTTTTTTGCCTGTCCTGTAGCTCCAGTAACAACCCCTAGCAGCCTTTTTAACAACTGCCCTATCCCCTAAACAATGAAGTTCTTAACTGAACCCACAATATTCAGGGCTCAAGGTCAGTGGCTTTACCACTTTGCCACTAAAGCCTTTTATACATACCTGGTTCTTTTAAAGTCAGAATGCATCTGCTTGAAAGGGGAAGAAACAACAGTCTGCATACAGATGTAAGCCAGATGTGTAAAATGGATGTGTACACAGAACTAAAGTTGTGGAAAGAGACCAGATGTGGACGAAAGTCCAGGACTTTCTGTTGGAGTTGACAGCTAGTGAATGCAAAGATACATGACTGTGTATGCATGCCTGCATGAATGGGACAGTTAGATAACCGAAAGCAGTCCAGCTATTTGTAGTCTTGATTCTTAGTACTTGGTGGCTGTACAGATTTTTGTAACCTTGTCTTCTAAAGAATGACTGCTTAACTTGTAACATCTGTTTGTGTTTCAGGTGGACAGAAGCAAAGGATAGCCATAGCCAGAGCTATATTAAAGGTAGGTTGTTGCTTCCAGACAGTGTATGAGATTTATTAACAGATTATTTGAAATATGTTTTTTTGGGGGGTGAGTTGTTTGCCATGAAATTCTTCTTTTTAAAGTCCATGTCGGGTGCTGTTGGTAGTCATGTCTATCCACAACCTTCTGTCTCGTGTACTTTCAGTCTACTCTGACACCGATGAGAATCCATGCCATGATGTCAAACTGTCCAGCATCTTTTTTCTTGGCTTCCCTCTGCCATGAAGTTTAAGCCTCCTAATCCAGTAAGTCAACCCATACAGGAATTGTGAATGCTGTAAGGCAGTGTTCCTCAACCTGTTCACACCCACGGCCCACCAAAACTGGGTCAGCTTGATCAAAGCATAGCAGACTGTCTCGGATGAAGACTTTGGCTGGTAGTGTTTCCCCTGTAGGGTTTTTAGACCTGCAAACTGCATAGTGCTCCGAGGGTCAAGATATACTCATGGCTGACACTGTCATAAAGGTAAAAGTAATATGAACACATACAGAGTCACAAAATAACTAGGTTTTACCACTGTTACTTCCTTACCACTTTTACAAGAAGGTGACATGGTTAGTGCCTTGTGGGAAAGCGTGTACAGTTCAGAGGAGCAGATGGATCACCAAAGTTTGGTGAGATTGATGCAGGGGGGAGTGACGAGAGGTTCTGGCAGATGCTTAAGGCTAAGAGGAAAGGCAAGACGTTTAATCAGAATGTTACTGGCACCATTAGTATCAGAACTTTTCACTGGCTGCTGAAGATTGGAATGGAGTGCTGTGATGTTGGTTCTTGAATCAACTCAACTTTTACAGGAAGGATTCAGTCTAAGAATTAAGCGTAGTCTGGAGAGGAAAAATAAATATGTTAATTTGTTTCTTATCTTTTTTTTTGTCTTTGTTTGAGAAACTGTTATACTTTGCTGCCATGTTTGCATCTTTCAATCTAATTTCAGCAAGCAGATTTTATCAGGTTTTTTTATTGAGCCTTTTGCTGTGTCCACTCTACCTACAGACAGTGTGTAATTTCTCCGTGTGGGTTCCGGAGCTCTATTATAGGGAAAACAAGAATAGAACCACTGCATACCCAAAAGCATGTCATAAGAGTCGACTAACTGGGAGCTTTCTTCAAAGTTGGAGTACTTCCAAGAGGCAAGGAACCAGCAGTCTGCATACAAATGAGTCAGATTTGTAAAACGGATGCACACACAACACTAAGGTTCTGGAACAGGACTGCAGTCCGAAAGTGGATGAACAACCAGAACTTTTCACCAGAGTTAACAGCTGGTGAAGGAAGAAGAAGAAGTATGTAATTCTATCTACCTACAAACAGTATGTAAAAGTAGAACTCACTAGGGAACCAAGAAATGGTTCTTCTTAATTTCAGAAATTCTTCTTATCCAGATAAAAGTTTCAAGCAGGGATAAACAAATTGTTCTTCATAAATGAAATTAGCCACATCTGAGATCACATTAGGCTGTCTGCTGTCTACACTGTGTATAAGAGATATGTCTGGTTTTTTTTTAAAGAATTGTTTTTCAAGAATATTCCAAATATGTATATGGGTGTATATATATATATATATATTACATTTTTAACTTTTTAAAAAATTTTTATATCTCAGAATCCAAAGATCTTGATTCTCGATGAAGCAACAAGGTTAGTATTAGTATTGACTCCTTTGGTACCAAGCCTTCTAACATCTGTTGGGAAACTGGGTATTTGAAGCTAGCACATCTTTTCAAAGACTAATCAACACCTTTACTGTAGGTTTGAAACAAAAGGTGTCAGCTTCAGGGTGGATTCTAACATCAAATGGACACTGAATCATTTGCAAAATTTCCGGGTGTGGGTTCCTGGTCCCATTATGGGGAAAGCATCTCCTGGGTGTACTCTCTCTCTCTCTCTCTCTCTCTCAGCCTGCTGTTTGCCCATCTCTTTCTGTTTACCTGTCAGTTATCTTGTTGACTGCCTCTTGCTCATTCGCCCACAGTTTTTCCCTCCTGTACAGGTTTTTATAAAAGTATATTTATAATCTTTTAACATGGCTGAAATATTTCACTTGACTCTTATTTTCTTCAGCAACTCTGTTTTTATTCGTCATCTTTTTGTTTTTTTTCATGAAATATGCCATATTCTTGTGTATATCCACTTTACTTCTGTGACCTACACCATATTCTTGTGTATGTCCACTTTACTTCTGTGACCTACACCATATTCTTGTGTATATCCACTTTACTTCTGTGACCTACACCATATTCTTGTGTATATCCACTTTACTTCTGTGACCTACACCATATTCTTGTGTATATCCACTTTACTTCTGTGACCTACACCATATTCTTGTGTATATCCACTTTACTTCTGTGACCTACACCATATTCTTGTGTATGTCCACTTGATTTTTTTATTTTAGTAAAATACACACTATTCTTGTATTTATCCACTTGTCTTTGTTTCCTTGAACTATGCCTTGTAATTATCCATATCCACATTGGTTGTTTTTTTTTTTTTTCCCCCAATGAAATACACCCTATTCTTGTGTACATCCACTTTTTATCTCTTTGTTTTCATGGAAACCTGTGTCCACTTTATCACTGATAAAAACTTGATTCTGCCTCACATTGTTTCCTAATCATTAATTGTGTATAGTAGTAATGCATTTTTTGATGCCAGCTCGACCTCAGCCACTAGTTGTCAATAAAGAAATGGTTACTTTTCTGTGTTTCTTAGTGCCCTGGATGCTGAAAGTGAGTACCAGGTTCAGGAAGCTCTGGAACGTCTAATGGTTGAGAAAACAGTGCTGGTTATTGCACACCGCCTGTCAACCATCAAGTCTGCCAACCGAATTGTGGTGCTCAGTGATGGCAAGGCTGTCGAGAGTGGGACCTATGAGGAGCTGATTTCTGTGAAAGATGGGCTGTTCCGTAAACTGGTTGAGAGGCAGACAATTACAAAATAGTAATTCTAGTGTTTTTTTTAGATTATACTGTTGATGTGCTGGTGAGTTTTGTGTAGGTTAATGACTATAACATAGGTGCTCTGATGTTTTTTTGGAAAGATAAGTGATTACAAATTATACGATTTGATGTGAAAAATGGGCTGTTCCGTAAACTAGTTGAGACGCAAACAATTACAAAAAAGTTTTTATAGTGTTTATAAGGTTATGCAGTTGATGTACTGGTGTGTTTTGTATAGATAGGTTAATGACTATAAAATAGGTGCTCTGATCATTTTGGGAAAGATAGGTGATTATAAATTATAGGTTTTGATGTGAAAGATGGGCTGTTTTTTACATTGGATGAGAGGGAGACCATTACAAAATAGTAATTCTAGTGTTTTTTAGATTATACTGTTCATGTACTGGTGTGTTTTGTATAGGTTAATGACTATAACATAGGTGCTGTTATCTTCATTGGAAAGATAGGTGATTATAAATTAGACATTTTGATGTGAAAGATGGGCTGTTCTGTACACTGGTTGAGAGGAAGACAATTACAGAATAGTTATTCTAGTGTTTGATAGATTAAACAGTTGATGTACTGGTGTGTTTTTTAAAGGTTAATGACTGCCCGGCTCTCTAGCGTAGTTGGCTAAACCGGATTGCGCGGTGAGCGGATGACGAACTCCTTGTGGTCCGGGTTCAATCCCTGGGGTAGGCAGAAAAGCCACATTTCTCCCAGATTTACGGTATTTACGATGGAATCAAGGCTGAAAGGTTGCGATATCCATAATACCGAGCCTAAGGGTTAACAACTCATGGCTTCTGGATACTAAAACAAACAAACAAACAAAGGTTAATGACATAAACAATGTTGAATTAAGAATCGACATCACAGCACTTGGGACACTCCCATAAGTGCTCAGTCCCCATCTTCAGCAGCAAGCGAAGAGTTCCAGTTTCGATGGTACCAGTAATGACTGTAACATATGTGCTGTTATCTTTGTTGGAAATATAGTTGATTATAAATTAGACGTTTTGATGTGAAAGATGGGCTGTTCCGTAAACTGGTTGAGAGACAGACAATTACACAATAGTAATTCTAGTGTTTGTTAGATTATACTGTTGATGTACTGGTGTGGTTTGTACAGGTTAATGACTATAACATAGGTGCTTTTATCTTTGTTGAAAAGATAGGTGATTATAAATTTTGACGTTGGAAGGACAGGTGATTTTATGCTATGTGTTGTGGCATTTGTTGGAAAGAGATAGTTATGAAAAAGATATTCTTCTGTTTGTTACAGAGGTTGATTTTACAAAGTTCTTTCACAAAGAGAGACTTATTATGAAAATTGGTATTCTGATATCGGTGGGACAGATTGTTACGAAGTCTACACACTCTAATGTCACATTGACTGTAGTTGATTGCAACATTTCTCTTCAGATGCTGGGCTATTAATTATATCTTCTTCTTCTTTGCGTTCACCAGCTGTAGACTCTGGCAGAAAGTTCTGGTTGTTTGTCCACTTCTGGAATGCAGTCCAGTTCCAGAATTTGAGTGTTGCATGTGCATTTGTTTGACAGATCTGATTAATTTGTATGTAGACTGTTGGTTCCGTGCCTCTCAGGCAGATGCACTCTGACTTTGAAGGAAGCACCCAGTTTGTCGACTTTTACGGCATGCTTTTGGGTAGGCAGGGGGTCTATTCTTGTTTTCCCTACAACAGGGTCCCGGACCCACACAGGGAGTTTATTATATAAAACCTTGTACAAGCAAGGTGTACCTGTCCTTGTTTCGTGGCGGTGCAAAGTTATAGAAGCAGATGAAGTAATTTATAAAATTATGATATTTTAAAGGCAAAATAAGTTACATTGTGATTGAACTTCATAACATTTTGCATGAATGGTTTAATGAAAACATCAAAATATGGGGCCTTACTCTTTTATTGCCTCTTGTATTTGGATACATTCAAAACAGTGGGCGGTCAATGTGTTAAAATAGTAGTAGCCCAAGCAAAAACAGTGTAGTTTACATGATAAAGAATAATCTGTGCATTACCATTCTGAGAAATAGAGCTCTTACTAACTAGATGCAGCAAAAATCCTGATGAATATAGGTGAATCATGAATGGTCATAAAATAATAGTGAAAAATAATTGAGAATCTGCAAGGATGGGCTTTCATAGAATAATGATGAGAGTGTGGACAGATGATAAAGAATAATCTATGCATTACCATTTTGAGAAATAGAGCTCTTACTAGCCAGACGCAGCAAAAAACCTTATGAATATAGGTGAATCATGAATGATCAGAAAATAATAGTGAAAATCATTTAGAATCTGCAAGGATGGGTTTTCATAGATGAATGGTGAGAGTGGACAGATGAAAACTGAAAAGAAGATGTCTTGAAAGATAAACTCATCTAGTAAAAGATAACTGATTACCTGTGACTGAATATGACAATCCACATTCTGTTGACAAATGAAAAGTCATGAATTATGGATTGGAAATAAACAAATATCAATCCAGACGAGAAGTAAAACTAGTCACACAAAAATTCTTTTACAAAGGAATTAATGTTGCAACTAGAAAGCCTTTATCAGCATACAACACAAATGGATTGTGATAGAATTACAGATACGAATACATACATAGAAGGGTGGTATGAAAACATGCAGTACAGACAGGGTAGATGCAACCAGACAGAGATAAAAGCAGAAAACGTGAGAAGGATATTAAATAGGTTAAATCTTATGTGGGTTCTGCTGCCAAATTGTTTTGGAGGGGGGGGGGCAGAAGGTGGATTTAGAGGGAAGAAAACTGACCCACCGCTTTCACATGTTGTAAAAGGTGACTAATTAAGGATGTTTTCTTTGAAGTCAAAGTGCATCTGCCTGTGATGAGGAACTAACCGACATCAAACAAACATGCAAGATCTGTAAAACTGATGTGCATGCAAAACTCAAGTTATGGAACCAGACTAGATCAGGAAGTGGACAAATAACTAGAACTTCTTGCCAGCGTGGACAGACATGGCAACCAATAAACTACATGCCGTAGACTTTTAAAAATCTGGCTAAAACATTGCTACCACAATAGAGATGATTTCAGAGCAAGAGTTAATGTACTTGAGATATGAGGTGATTTCAAATGTAGCTGCAATACAGATATAAGTAGTCATAATGTGTAGGATTTTTCTATTTTCAGTTTTATTTTATGGGTGGTCTGATGTGCAGTGAAGATGACCAGTGAAATAACTAGTTTTTATGTGTGTCTTTGGAGGAGGAGGGGGGAGTAGGTTATTGCATAATAACCATATGCTTGTTACAAAGTTGAATTTCAGAGTACAGACTTTATTGTCACAAGTTAGCTCCCACGTGGCTCAGTATCTCTCTAAAAAAACAGCTAGCTGCCCACTGAGAGCGTCACACAAAGCACCAACTCTAACTCCGGCATGGATCTCTGTTAAAAAAAAAAAAAAACTGCTCTCGTTAAACAAAACCACAGCAAACGGCTTGAACACTTTGCCACAGAGAGACTGGTGTTTATTAAAAGTCAGCATATTAAACAGTTGTATCAAAATAACTGTTTTTAAATGTTAGAAAATCAACTTAGAATCATACTGATTTGTTCCTAGACAGACAATTTATTAAGAAAGTATTTACGTCACATTAAGAAAGTATTTTATATTTTAGTCAGATGTCAGCTTAAGGGATTTTTCATTCTTCCTAGAAAGGAAATTCATTATGAAAATAGTTGCACGTGTTTAAGCTGTTTAGGGTGTTCCTAGATAAGTAATTTATTAAGTTTGTATGTTAGTTACGTTAGAATGTCAGTAAAATTGTGCTTTCTTCCTAGATTCATTATGAAAATAGTTGTTTTACCTTAGTTAGCTTATTAGGGTTCCTAGATAGGAAATGTATTACAACATTGCCATTTCATTGTTGTATAAGTTTCTTGTGCACTGAAGAAATGTCAGGCAGTTTGATTATAAAATTTATTTATAGACCTGAACACACATTTTTAAGTGTAAATACTGATTTAGTATTGAATAGTGTTTGATAAGATTGTCAACTTTCTCATTTTAATGATGTTATTTATTAGCCAGAAATAATCAGAGAAGATTATTGTGATCACTTTGTTTCCATTATGTTTATTACCATGATCAGACTGAGAAAGAATGTTACCCCTGTTTTCACATCCATATTAGGCATTATTGTGCAAGCCCTGAACTTGTATACACCCATTAGCACTTCGTGGGTGATATTTTCAATATCACATTGACTGCCTTCATTACCCAGGATATTTCCTGGTACCTATTTTAGGCATTATAACTCTTACTTGGTCAGGATACAAACCTATAACCACAGGCAGCGTGTGAAAGTCACTGCTCCAAGCTGAGATAAGATCTGTGCTAGTCTCATTTATAGCAAAAGACTTGTATGTTGAATTAAGAATTGACATCACAGCACTCGGGACACTCCCATAAGTGCTCAATCCCCATCTTCAGCAGCAAGCGAAGAGTTCCAATAGTAACCGTCTCATTGTGTATCCGTCTCATCCTTCCTCTGAGTGTTGAGCGTTGGCCAGATCCCCGGGTAACTCCTTGCAGCGCCATTCTTCTTAGACCGTAATGATCTGTCTGCCTCTCCACACTGTTCACTCGCTCCCAAAGGGGTCTCACAAGATCTAACTTGTAGTAAAAGACTTATATGCAATTAACAGGATTATATCACTGCCATGATCTGTGATTGTGTAAATCAGTTGAAATACTGGTGTAAGTGATAAAATGAAATACATCATGTAATTAAGAAAGAGAAAATATCCAACAACAACAAACAACACACAAAGAAGTACGATAAGTCTGAACTGCTGCTGCATGGGGGATAGATAGTCCACTTTTTTATTAAGACAAAATTCTAGGCTTCAAAATCCAATTGTAGCAATGTGCTTCTCTGGTGAATGCACTGTGTCAGTCAAATAAAATGGGCTCTAGAAATGTTCTAAACTAATACAAGAAG